TAAGATATCTCTTTACATCTACTAGACTGTAAAAAATAATACAAAACCTGAATAATGCCATGTGTTAGCAGGGATCAGAGGTATACTCTTCTGTGGGTATGAAAACTGGTGCAGGCATTGCGGATAGCAGCACAGCACTGTGATACAAAGGGACATATGAGGATGTTCATTTAAGTATTACTTTGGCAGTAACTCAAATGAGGAGTTGGAGGCATTCTGGATACCTATCTCTGAGAATAAATAGGTAAAATGTGGTAGATGTATGTTTTGAAACTGTTGCAGTTAAAAGCAACACATTAGATGTACCTCTAGCAACTTGGGCGGACCCTAAAACCATAATACTGAGTAGAAAAAGTAAGAAGCAGAAAGACACATAGCACAGTGCTAATTAAGAAATTAAAAATAAGTCTGGCATCAGTTGCTTGCACTTGCACTGCAATCCTAGCTACCTGGAAGGCTGGGATCAGGAGGACACAGTTTGAGGCCAGCCTGGGCAATAGTTCATGAGACCCCTGTCTCCAAGATAACCAGAACAAAATGGACTGGAAGTTTTGGTTCAGGTGGTACAGCATGTGCTTTGCAGTGTGAAACCCTGAGTTCAAACCTCAGTCCCCACCACCACCAAACACAACAAAACAGCAACAAAAAGGACATTAAAATACATTCATAGAAACATTTTGTATGAACAGGTACAAGCAAAAGTTCACATATTAAGCACATTGTAATGTCCTTAGGATGAAGAAAGAGAATAAAAGAATCAAAACAACTCCCCAGAGAATGCTGTGTAATGGCAAGGCACCGAGATTGTTGTTGAGTAGCAGAAACATGACTGTTTGAGGTTAGCCATTCCAAGACATGATGGGATTAATTCATAAGACCAGTATTGCTCTCATACTGTATAAAATGCAGGTTGGCGGCCCAAGCTGTCAGTGGGTACACGTGACCACCTTGTGGAAAAACACTGGTTCTGTTCTCCTATACCAGGGTTTCTTAAAAGGGAGACGTTGGCATTTTAGGGAAGAGAGGGGGTAAGGTTGTTTTGTATATCATAGAATGTTTAACTGCATCCCTGGCCTCTACCTCCTAGATACTAGTAGCGCTTTTCTCCTAGTTGTTGACCAACTGTATCTCAGATATTGCCATATTACTCCTGGGGAACAAAAAACTATCCCTGATGAGAAGCCTGTTCTAGGATCTAGAACCTAGAGTAATGTGGATGGTGTCAGTTTTGAGACTGATTATGAACAGAGGTACCTGCCTACTGAATTCTGTAACTTAGGAATTCAAGTCTAATCTTTCATTAGAAGAAGAGAAAGTTAAGTCTAAAATGTTCACTGGAGCAAGAGATCCTACTGTTTTCTATATCTAAATTTCAATACTGTTCTTTTCAGTTCCAGCAACAGTAATAATATTACCTTAAGTTGCTTATAGTTTAAATATGTTAATTTAAAAAAATACTTTTCCAACTGAAGATATAGATCAGTGGTATTGTGCTTACCTAGCATGCACAAGGCCGTGGGTCCACGAGGGCAGGGGACGGGAACCACGAAAAACTTTTCTTTATAAGAAAAGCTCTGTAAAGTATAATTTATCTCCATTTTTCAGATTAGTAAACCACAGAGCAGAATCTGATGTGATTTTCTAGGAGCACATGATCATTAAATTGGAGATCTGGACCCAAACCCAATCTCATTCTTGGTTAAGTGTTTTTCCATAGGTTTCTCTCAAAAGTTTTAGGAAACTGTTTTTGCCCTGTCATTTATGTTTTTAGCTATCCTGATTTCCTTCCTTAATGACTTTTCTCTAAGTGTCCTTGGATCTCAAGTACTTTCATAATCCTGCTTTATTTTCATTGTCTGACCTTACTAGCCTTTCCAGAGTTCCTTTATAAACTCAGAGAATGATTACAGGGAGGCAGCTAGGGAGACAAAAGAGTTTTTATCATCTAGGCAGAGTCTACTATTACTTACTCCCTAGTTCCTCAGGGATGTTAGGGGAAGGATAAGTTTATGCCTGGAAAAGTATCTGTTCTATTTTTAAAGGTCTCCAAAGAGAAGCTTTTCATCATCCCTGTCTGCTGCCAGATATAGTTTCTTTCAAAGCCCCACCCCCCTGGACTGCTTTTCCTTCCTAAAATGGATGAGCAACAAAACCTCTTACCCTGAAATTTTTTTTTCTTTCTTTTTTTTTTTTTTTGCGGTACTGGGGCTTGAACTCAGGGCCTCACGCTTGCTAGGCAGGCGTGTTACCATCTGGGCCGCTCCACCAGCAACCCTGAAATTTTTTAAGTACTACAAATTTCTCCTCAGACCAAGACATTAAGAAGGTTACTAGGATGTGGCTAGAGAATGCTGACTAAATGGTAGAGGTCTTCAATATACTTTCTATGAGAAAAGCAAAGCCTTTGTCCTGAGAATACAGTAAAAACTGCTAGCTGTGCTATACATAAGAGCCTCCTTTTAGCCTCGTCTACCTCTTTAGGCTCATTTCTCATCTCTCTCTCTTTCAAAGACTGGTTGTACTTCCTCCAGCATGCCATGCGCCCTCATCCTAGAATATTCATCATGATCTTTTATGCACCTGGACCTACAAGGCCATCAAGACAGAGAGGAGGGGATGCCTCTTTCATGAAGCTTTTCTTTGTTCCTCCACTTTGAGTAAAGTGCCTCTCCTCTGTACTTTCTAGGCCTCCAGTGCTCAGTCCGTTATAGAACTTATGCTCAATTTTAGTCAATTGTTTGTTTCTCCTCAGTAGACTTTAGTTCTTTTTTTTAATGATAGCAATGGGTATATTTAATGAGTGTGGGTTACTTTAATACAAAAGCACACTTCAAGGACACCAGAAGCTTAAACAGGTGGTGAGAAGGAAGAAATTTGTTATTTTTCCTCAAAGCTCTTAACATCCTACTTGTATACAAATTATAGAAAAAGTTTATTACAATTCCATATTAATGATAATGACTCAAAATGGTAGTGATCAAATCCATGCTAGTCTACCAACAACTAATTTAACTTATTGGTGAAAATGTATGCATTTCTTTTATTACATAAAACCAGCAAAAGAAAACTATAATCAATTCCTCTTGCAACTATCCTCTTCCTTAGCAACTTTTCCTTACATTTAAATCGCACTTCCATCCATAACTTTTGTACAAAATCCCAATTCTGATTATAGCGTTTCACTGCTGGATATGAGGGGTTACACGAGACAAAAAATGCTGCTATCTAAAAAAGTTCTTCGTGCACTTTTTCTAGTGGCATAAATGACACACCAAGAATGTCACCAAAAAGGTAGCTATTCATTGTTTCAGCAACTATCTTGGAAACATCTTCAGGAAATAAGGCGGGAATGGTTTTTATGTGTCCTCTCTACCTTGGCCAAATCCCAAGTCTCCTTCAGAACCATCCAGAGCTCTACCTCTGGCAGAAAATCTTCCTAAATAGCTCTTGTTCACACTGCCACATGTTTCCTCTGAACTCCTGGGTCAGTACTTGATTCTTTGCATAGCTGTGTAACTCATGTGTTTATGTTTCATCATTTAAGTTCTGGAAGCGATGGTAAGGCCAGGGCTTTTCCTTATTTTGTGCTTCCACAACATCTGGCAGAAGTTGAATCAAGTTTTTCTACACAACATCGTCACCAGATGGCACCAGAGTTCCTGCCATTGCCAAACTGGTCATTAAAAATGCCTTCCTTAATGAATTTTAAACTTACTTACTAAGCAAAATGCCACTAAATATGCCTCTACTCTCCCAGAAAGCCTGAGAATTGCTTAGCTTGTTAGAAGAGGGGTTTCAGAAATCAAGCCAAACTCTTCTTCAAGGGGGAAGGATCTTGACTCAGTGAGTTGGAGGTAAACTAGAAGTAGAACCCAGAACCCAGGTCTGCTGAATTTCCACTGAGCTATGTGGTTTCAAAGAGCCTAGTCCTGTCTCAAAAGTCTTCTTTTCTTTTCTCCCTTTTTGTCCCTCTGTTCTACTCTCCCTCTTTCTTGTTTGAATAGCTTTTTCACCCTAAAGTTTCAAGCCTGAAAGTTATAAAACAAGGCAAGATTTTTCATCCTTTTACACTGATACCCAGGCTTACCCCTTATTATATCTTTGTCTAAGTCAGAATAGAATCCAGGTTTTTGCCTCTCTTAACTCACCCAAATTGTACAAAGCTGCACCTCATGTAGAAAAAACTATCTTGGGCTTGGGAGTATGGCTTAAGTGGTAGAGCACCTGCCTAGCAAGCACAAGGCCTTGAGTTCAAATTCCAGTAATGCAAAAAGAAAAAAAATCTTGACTACAGATCCCTTTCAAAATATGCTATGGATGATTAATGGGGAGTAGGAAAGGCTATGGAGTAGGCTGGTTGTTTTTATGCAACAGCCCAGTTTTTTAAAAACTTTAAGGAGACCAGGAATTCCTGTTCTTTTTCACAAAGGAAAATGTAGCCTAGTCACCACCTGTGAATGAACTTAAAGTCGGCCTCATATTCTAGATAAGCACAAAAATGATGGTAGAAAAAATGCTTTGGGGGCATAGGAAGTCATGACTAATTCTGACTAAAAAGGACACTGTAGGCTTCAATGTGTCTTGGATGTAATGTTACCATGCAGAAATAGAGGCAGGAAGCATATTTTAGCTCAAGAGGGACAACTTAACTTAAAGACATTAGGGAATAAGAGGAGGAGGGCCCTACCACAGATGTTCTCCTTCCAGTCTGTCCTTGGATGCAGGGAAACTAACAAAGAACTTGTTGCAGCCAGCCAGATAAGCCTTACTAGAGATCACATGGAAAGGAAAGATAGCCAAGAGACAGATGAATGAGGGATCAAAGGGAGGAGTCAGGCCTGGTTTCAGGTTTCTAACTTTGATCACTAATGGAGTTACCTTTATTCAAAATTGGAAATGTAGGAGAGAATCAGACTAAAGAAACAAGAAGCATTGTAGAATTGTGGGTAGAGCTGCAGAGATTGCTGGCTAGAGCTGAAGTGCTTGTGTTTCTCTTTCAGATGGTAACCCTCTTTCAGATGTGGGTTGTTCCCCTCTATTTCACAGTGAAGCTACACTGGTGGAGGTTCCTGGTGATCTGGATCTTCTTCTCTGTTGTCACAGCCTTTGTCACCTTCCGAGCCACACGAAAACCTCTAGTACAGACAACCCCAAGGTGAGAGTTTAGGTAGTGGTTTAAAGAGTCTGCGTTTCTTGAAGCTAGTGTGATAGAATGCATGGGAGGACAGTGGGTTTAGTTAGACTGAGAGAATTGCAATTTTCATCTGCCAAGATTATTTGGCGTGGGGCCTCTCTAAAACAAGCTGATTGGGAGACCCACTCCCCTATTCACAGATTTAAAACTCCCAGATGTTTTCCCAAAGCTCACTTTATTGTTTATATCAAAGTATTTATATTAAAAGCAAACAAAATAAATAAGCAAATCCTGGTGATCATTGTAGTCTCATTTTTAATGTTATTTTCTTCTGTGAACACTTCTCTGATCTCTAAATAAGATTTTTCCATTATATTCTCTCACAAGACCCTGTAGTTTTCCATCATACAACTTACCACAATTTATAACAAAAATATTATTTTAAATATCTGTCTCCCCCACTAAACTATAACTATGAGATCAGGAACCACATCCATTTTGCTGGTCACTGTATATCCAGGCCCTGCCACAGGGTCTGGCACATAGTAACCTACTCTGAATTTTTGTTGAATGAATGAATCTCAGCAAATTTGCAATTTTCCTATAAATAGTACTTGTTAGACGACAAAAGAGCTGCCACCTTTAAAATTCTTTGTATTTTATCCAAATGCATTTCTCACTTAATCCTCCCAACCAGCTTGTGAGGTCATTTAATATCTGTACTTAACAGAAGAAGAGATTTTTCTCATTCATTCATTCAACAAGCACCTGCTATGTGCCAGGCCCTGTGCTGAGCGCTGGGATACAGACTGGATAAGACATGGTCCCTGTCCTCAAGGAGTGTTCGGTTTAATGGAGGAGATGGACAAGAAAGCACCTGTTGCAGTGCAGTTGGTAAGTCCCAGGAGAGGTGTGCACAGGTCCAGGAGAGCCAAGCAGGGGAACTGGCTAGCTTCAGAGTTGGGACCACTGATCCAAAGTCTTCCAAGTTATAGATTCCTCTCTTCTCATGCTTCCTATGTTCCCCTTTACTGCAAGTCTTTCTCTGTCCTTCTGTGTTTCATTGTACAAAGTGAAGTTGGTGATTCAGAAGTGCCTCTCTGGAGACATTATAGAGGATACAGGCTCTGGAACCAATTGGATGTGGATTGGAATGGATTGGAATGACCAGCCCTGTTATTGTTAGCACTATGATCTCAGCTTTCTGAGCCTTGAATTTTTATCCCTGAAAATGGGATAATGCTACCTCACATGGAGTGATATAAAGAAAAAAGTGCAACCAGGTGCTGGTAGCTTACTCCTGTAATCCTAGCTATGCAGGAGGCAGACATCAGAACTGTGGTTTGAAACCAGCCCGAGGCAAATAGTAAGATCCTATGCTGAAAATACCTAACACAAAAAAGGGCTTGCTGAGTGGCTTAAGCGGTGCTTAGCAAGTGTGTGGCCCTGAATTCAAATTCCAATACCGCCACCAAAAAGAAAAAGTACAATAAAACATGTAAGAGTTACCAAGTGCTAAGTGTAGTGGTTCATGCCTGTAATTCCAGCACTCAGGAGGCAGAGGCAGGACAATTGGGCTATATAGTGAGTTCAAGACCAGCCTGGGCTACATAGACTCTAGCTTAAAAAAAAGTTGTTGAATGACAAACAATAACAACTTCTAGATAAAATGATAAAAAAAAAGTGTCAATAATGTAAGTTTTTAAAAATTATAGTAACATTTGAAATACGTTACAGTTTCAAAGCACTTTCATAAGTGTCCTCATTTATTCATTCAGCATTTAATGAGCATATACTAGTTAGTTACAAGGCAGTGAGAAAGATAGGGTAGTTTTCCCATTTTACAAAAAAGTAAACTCGTCCTGTGATGTGATTACCTGAGGTTACTTAGCAAATAAAGCCTCACTTACTCCAAGTTAACTACAAATTAAGGATTGAGGAACCTAAAATTTCATGTCCTTTCTACTGTGTCTTTCTCTTCCCCTGGATATATTCCTCTGGATAAAATAGCTATGTGTGGTCTTTGAGCACAACCTAAAAGATGGTTGAGGCCTCTGCCTAGCCTGAGATGCCATTACTGCTGGCTTAGCCACAGCAGGGAGTCACAGGCAGGGTGGGACCTTGAACTTCCTCCCAGGGCCCTGCAGGTTGGCAGTGACCCAAGTCAGCTTGTGCTGGTTATTCAAACAAATTGCTGAATTGCTCATTAGCTGTCATCACCAGAGAGAATAGTGGTTTCTATTACCAAAGACCTGCCCCTGAAGCATTTAAAAGGCTCTGGTTCATCCAGGGAACCATCTTTCCTCCCTGATTCTACCTAGAGACAGCCACCCAGATTCCACACTGCTCTTCTCTGGGTTCTGAGGCACACTGCTTACACCTCAGAGGCATGAACAACCTCACTCCACCCCTCAACCGCACAATACACATATATCTAATTCAGAGGTTTCTTTCTGAGTTCCTCCCTCCTTATTTCTTTTCCAGAGAAAAAAGTCATTTCAGAAACAAATTTATGAGATAGTCCTTTTATTATTGACCTGTGGATAGGAGCAAAGCTATACTCAGACTACCCAGGCTTAGGTACAAAAACCTGTAGTTAATTCTACCTCTGATTCATCTTCCCTTAAATTCTGTTTCCTGATAAGAACAACTACCCTTCTTCTGAACTAACCTGAATTTAGGAAGACTTAGCTGTCTCAGTCAGCTGTGCCCTTTTATTCATTTGAAACTTGTTTTTAGGGATCTTTTCTTGGTCCAGTACTAGGGAAATATAAAGCATTAGTTTCTTGGAGGTGTTAGGGAAGTGTTTCTAAAATTGAGGAAGTGAACAGCTTTGGACAGTGCCTGTCCAGAACTGAGCATTGAGTCTGATGTTCCCATGGATGTGAGAATAAGGAATTCTGGTGGGTCATTGACCCCTGAGGCTGCATCTCTGTGTCGGCTATACTAACTTTTTATTTCCTTTCTCCAGGTTGGTTTATAAATGGTTCCTGCTGATCTATAAAATCAGCTATGCCACTGGCATTGTTGGCTACATGGCTGTCATGTTTACCCTCTTTGGTCTTAACTTATTATTCAAGTGAGTACCCTTTGCTTTCTTTTTTCTGGTGTTTGGGGAGGAATGCTGGTGATATGTACCTTTCTTCTTGTCCCAAGCCCTGGATATTAACCCTGGATAGCAGGGTAGGAGGCTTCAGCAGGATGAAAGATGGTAAGCCTTCTGTACTTTGTGCTGGCAGAAAGCAAAGAATGTCTGGATATCTAAAAGAGCCACAGTCCAGATCATTGCTTTATTTTCCAAAAGTTTGCATTTCAGTGGAAAAGTATAAGAAAAGTAAAGCACAATAATGATTATAACCAATTACATATAATTCTAACACCCTAACAGCAGTTTTTTTCTCATCTGTGTATACTAGTCTGCCTGAGAGACTTTGTATTCTAACTAGATCAGGAATTGGCAAACTACACCCTTTGGGCCAAATCAGCCCATCACTTGTTTTTATAAAAATAAAGGGTATGATTTTTTTTTTCTTCTTTCAAAACAAGGATTTTTTTGTTTGTTTTAGGCCTGGAACTCAAAATCCTCTCTCAGAGAGTTTGAACCCGAGGCTTTGTGCTTGCTAGGCAAGTACTCTACCACTTGAGCCATGTCCCAGCCCCTAAACTCAGATTCTACTGATTTTAACATAATCATGCACATTCATTTACTTACTGTCTATGGCTGGTTTTGCATTGAAACAACAGAGTTGAATAGTTGCAGCAGAAACCATATGGGGCATAAAACCTAAAATATTTACTCTCTAGCCCTTTACAAAATAGTTGCCAATCCTTGGTCTAGACAAACTCCTGTGACCTTAGTTGGCCATACTTGGAAAAAGGCCAATTTAAAAGGAAACACAGAAGGGGAATATCTGCAGGAATCTTCACAGTAGTCCTAGAGTGAAGGTGTGAGGGAATGAGTCCACACTGATGGATGTGGGAGCCATCCTGATCTGGAAGCCCCAAAATTCCCCAGGAACATGTCCACTTTGAAAATGTCCCAGTCTACACATTTACTATATAAACAGTGTTGCCTATAACATAGCTGACATTCCACCTTTGTCAAACATCTAGGGAAATAGTTCTAGGAATTTAACTTGTAGAAATTTAATCCTGCTCTGTTTTGGGGCACTTAGGTTATTTTCAATGAACTAATGTTGTAGATAACATGGCTGTGTTGCTTCCTAAGGTTACATCCTTCGGAATGGGATTCTGGTTATTGCTTCAAATTGTCATGGGCCTTCAGAAAGATCTATACTAGTTTCTAAGTCCTCTGACCCCCCCCTTTCCCCCGTTGAGGCAGGAGCAAAGAAGTTCTGAGTTTGGAGACAAGGGTACAGTGAGTCAGTAGGGCAGAAGAGGGTGGAAATGTAGTTACCCGAATGAGGTAATGGTGACCGTTGGCTATGGATCAGAAGGAGTCCTAAGCCTGGGACAGTGCACTGAAGTTAAAGAGGTTTAGGATTCAATTTTAAGTTCACAGATATAAAGGCCACTGACCTCTTCCCTAAACCCACCATCCTGGTGCTAGTGGCTCACTGCTGTAATCCTAGTTACTTAGTTCAAGGCCAGCCAGGACAAATAGTTCATGAGACCATATCTCCAAAATAACCAGAGAAAAATGGACTAGATGTGTGGCTCAAGCAGTAGAGCACCTGCTTTGCAAGCATCAAACCCTGAGTTCAAACCCCAGTCCCACCAAAAAAAAAATAGTAGTAATAACACTAATAATAATCAGGAGAAGGAGGAGGAAGAGCCAGGTGTAGTGGTGCATATCTGTAATATAGCTATGAGGGAGATTGTAGGTAGGAGGATCTTGGTCCAAGGCCAGCCCCAGGCAAAATAAAAAGTGACACCCTATTCAAAAAATAATTTAAAGCAAAAGAGGGCTGGGGGCGTGGCTAAAGTGGCAGAGAACCTACCTATCATGTGCAAGGTCTGAATTGAAACCCCAGTATTGCCAAAACAATTAAAAACAATATTTACAACTTTAAGTGAACACGTAACACCTCTTTATACAAATATTTTAACAAAGGTAGTTTTCTTAAGGTTGTAAATTATTGATCCTTAGAATTATTAAAATAAACTTCCTGATGTTTCAGAAAAGATCTTTATCCTTCTTAGTACATACACTTGAATAAAAAATTAACTTTGAAAACACTAGGCAGAATATATATAGATGCAACTTAAAATTTTATGGTAACCATGCCAGGTGCTTGTAATCCTAGCTAATTGAGAGGCTGAAACTGGGAGGGTCATGGTTCAAGGTCAGTCGAGGCAAAATAGTTCATGAGACCTTCATCTCCAAAATAACCAGAACAAAATGAACTGGAAGTGTGGCTCAAGTGGTAGAGCGCCTCCTTTGCAAGTGTGAAGGCCTGAGTTCAAACTTTAGTTCTACCAAAAAAAACAAAAGCTGGGCACAGTGGCACATGCCTGTCATCCCAGCTGTGCAGGAAGTATACATAAGAGGTTCACAGTCCAGGACAGCCCAAGCATAAATGTGAAACTCTTTGAACAATACCTAAAGCAAAAAGGGCTAGAGGTGTGTTCAAAGCACAGTATTGCAGGCGGGGAGAGGAAGTGGGGATTATGGTAACTAGTATTAAATATTTACTAATTAATCTTTTTTCTAAGCCTATGTTTGGCAAACTTTTTCTATAAAGGACCAAATAGTAAATATTTTACATTCTGTGGGACAGTAGGCAAAAATCTAGGTTTTTTTTTTTTTTGTGTGTGTGTGTATGTAGGTACATACATACAAAGAGAGAAGACATTCTGTTCCACTCTGTTTACCAGGGGTCCAAGTGCACATCTCAAGAGTGGGATATACTTTGTACCCAATTACTGTCAATGGAGACATTCTCAAAAGAGAGGCCTGGCAGGACATATGTGTCCACTGGGGTCATTTTCAGTCTCTGCTTCAGTGACACCCACATCCTGGCATGCTTTTCTCTCCTTTCAGGGGACTTAACTATTTCACCTTGAGTGTTTGGCTCAGTGAGGTAACTTAGTGAATTGCCAATTTCTAGACTGAGTTTTCACCACCTGGTGTACAGTGATTGCTAACAGTGGAGTCCCCAACATGTAGGTCCCAACCAGTGCAGGCCCTAGGCAGTTATAAGGCATGGCCATTAGTCATGGGAGATAGGAACTTTGAGCAGAGTTGGGAGTAGGAGCATGGTCTTTGCAGTTCACAGTGCTAGCTTCCTCAAGAGTTATCTGTGGGCTGTATAAAAATAAGATACTAGATGCAATTTGGTCATAATTTTCCAATACTTGCTCTGGCCTTTGAGCCAACCAGCTTTAAGCCCTGCCTTGAGTGTCCCAAAGTAGTAATCCAAAGCAGATGTGTTTCAGGGCAGGCCTTACTGGCCATGGTGTTTCCCTTACAGGATTAAACCAGAAGATGCCATGGACTTTGGCATTTCTCTTCTTTTCTATGGCCTCTACTATGGAGTTCTTGAACGGGACTTTGCAGAAATGTGTGCAGACTATATGGCGTCTACCATAGGGGTGAGTTCATCTGTGCTCTTAATACTGCTTCCTGTCACCTCTAAATTGTTCAGGCTAGCATTACTTCTTGATAAGAGAGAAAGACACTAAGGGATGAAAAAAACCATAAAATTCTTCAGGATGTGGGTGGAGATATGCATGGAGATTCCTTCCTTAAAATTTGGAAAGCCAGATCTCAGATGTACCCTGGAGTTTTTAACTTTAGGGCCATCATAGGAGAAAACCACTTTACCCTACAGGAAATTTACATTCATTCAAAAAATGAACGCCTCTTATGTGGCTGGGCACTGTGATATATATTGGAATTAAAAAGGTATACAAAAATCAAGATGGCTCTTGACCAAATGAACTTTACTCTGTAGTGGGAAAGGTGGCTATTAAAGTAATACACATACAATTAGACATAAAAGTATATGTTTAATAAATATTGTAAAGGAATGATTCATGATGTTATGAACAAATATAGTAGTGACACAGTTGACTTAGTCTCAGGGGTCAGTGATGGCTTCCCCAAAGAAGTAACTATTGAGCTAACTTGAACAATGAATAGGAATTAAGTAGATGAAGTGTATATTGTTTAGAGAGAACGACATGTATAAGAGTCCTGTCACAGGGCCAAGGGTGAGCATTTTTGGGGAATTAAGAGTGTGGTTATGAATGTGATGGAAATGTCTAGAGAAATAGTGGCTAGACAGGAGAAAAGCCTTATAAGCCAAATTTAAATTTTTACATTAAAATCACTGAGAGGCTAAGATAGAGAATGACTTTATCAGATTTGCAATAAACAAAGCTCATTCTGGCTGGAGGTACAAAACCAGATTGGAGAGGGTCCACAATTGTGGACTTCTTGAACAATTGTGGTCATCTGGGTAAGATAAAGGAATCTTAGATTAGGACAGAGATGGTAGAAAGGGGAAGAAGTAGACTATTTGAAAAGTATTTTGGAGGTGCGTTTCACAGTTCGTGAATATAGTCTGGTTCCTGAGACCAAGGGAGAAAATATGAAGGATATGTAGGTGTTAAATTTGATGGTTCTGACTCTGAAATATTCAAATGGTAGTGCCTTTCACTACTATTAGGAAATAGTGCAAGAGGACTAGTTGCAGACCATGAAGAGAAACTTAGAGCTTAACATATGCATATGGTAACAACTAATTTGAGAGACCGAAGAAAGTACCCCGAATATTTTCCTAAATGGAAATGTATTTTTGTTATTTGTTTTATAAGTTACTTAAATAACGTATACATACTCCTCATCTCAGTATCATTCCCTCAGAACCCGCCCAGATGTCTCCACCCCAAGAAGGAATATTTCCATCACCCTGGGTAATTTTAATCAAGTACACTTTTAGGTCAAGACCTCCTCAGTATCATAAGACTAATTTTATTTTTCCTATACTGGAACAAATTGGAAACAAAGTGTATTGGATCACTTTATAGGCATGGTTTGGATATGGTTTGAATGTATCCCCTAAGAACTATGTATTGGAGGTTTAATCCTCAGTATGGAGGTGTTGAGGTAGTGGGACCTGGTGGGAGGTCATTGAGGGTATACCTTTGGGAAGGATTAAGATAGTTCTCATGGAACCTTGAATTAGTTCCTGTGAGATTGAGTTGTTATAGCAGTGAGCTGCATATCTGAATTGCTCTCTGACTTCCTGTCTGGATGTAATCTCTTCTATACCTGCTTGTGCTCCCACTATTGTGTTGCCATCCACCATGAGGTGATGTAGTGCGAGGGCCCTTGCCAGAGCTCATGCAGTGGTACTGTTTGGACTTTCAGCCTCTGACACTGTGAACTAGATGTGTTTTCTTTGTAAATACTTAGCCTCAGACATTTTGTTATAAGTAATGGAAAACATACTGTAAAACAGCCTATCACATTCTTTTTTTGAATAATTTTTTTGTATTTTAACTTCATTTCACCATTTCCTTTCTATCTGTGTAGATTTCAGATCTTCCTTTAACCAATTCACTCCCCCAGAAAAGATTTCCAGACCCTGGAGTATCTAATTATTAACTTCATACTTGGCACCAGCCATTCACTAAAATTGCTTCTATAGCACAGCCAGCATTTCAGAGCAACTTTTGCTAGTATTCTGTTCTTAATCCTCTAGTGATTTCATTTTCTTCTCATTTTGTTTTTGTAGGACTGATTCTCTGATTATCTTAGGTTTTTGCCAACTTTATCTGAAGCTTATCAGCTGCCAATTTAAGCATATCCTTAATTCCCTAAGATGCATTCATAATAACCATCTCCAGAATCCCTCCTTTTTTAAACAGAACTGAGCTGAGTTGATCAACAAGTTAGCTTCTCCCCCAGGAAGTAGAATCATTACATTGGACTCCCCAAATGGGGGACTGAGGCCTGTTTTCTTGCTCTTAGGAGTTAGGGGCTTCAATGATTAAAAGTAATAATCCCTAATAGTGATGTGACAGTTTCCCTAAAAATGATAAATTCCAGCTTCATCAAAAGACGTGGTGGGAGAATTTCTTGTTGGGGTGGAAAGTACCTCAAATTCAAGCTCTTGGTCTGCTGTTATCTTTCCCTTTATGGGATCTTACTAGTCTCCCCACCCCACTCCATGCTGACCATGCTAATTCATTAACAGCCTCGTCTAAGGACAAACCCTGGTCCTTCCCTCTACCTTTTAACACAGGACCATAAGGATTCATCACATCAGGTTGGTGGAGTGGCTCAAGTGGTAAGAGCGCCTGCCTGGCAAGTGCTTGCTAGGCCCTGAGCTCAAGCCCCAGAACTGCAAAAAAAAAAAAGGATGCATCACTTCCATCTTTTTTGAAAGACTAAGGATGATAGCAGGAAAATAAACAGAGTACATAAATGAGGTTACTATGACTTACCAGATTCCTGCTTTCCAGTGTTTTCACACCCTACTTCATTCTGCCTTTCAACCTCCTTCCTAGCACCCACTACCTTAGAATTGATATCTAAACAATCACTGTCTTCTAATAGCTAGACCAGAGCCTGTGTTCCTGACAAAACATACCCTCTTCCTCTTACCTCAATTCAGCCCTCTGAATCCTGGTGTCCTATATGAGGATAGAAGATGGCTGTCTCATTTAGAGGACCCACTTGTTTATTCAAAGGGATGTGACCTTTCTGACCTTAACTCTAGAAAGGCAGTGTACTGTTTCCCAGGCCCCTATGTGGTGAGTGGGGGTTGTCCTAGTAAGAGTCGGATGGCTTGTGATAGTACTGTGAATCACCAGGAGTTTGCTTGTTCGTTGTTGACCACAGCAAATACTGCTGAGACTTTCAAAGTATCAGGCCTTCTGCTAGAACTTTGATGTTAACAGGCCTAACAGCAGGAGTGTGAGAGAGGAGCCTCCAGCATGGGGTAGAGAGACAGCTTGTGCTGCCTTTCCAGTCCTGAGAATTCCAGTTCTCTCTTATTTATGCCAGTGTATTTGTTCAAGTGGGCTTGCTCTACCCTAGAACACCAGGCCCCAGAAGTATTGCTATCCTTGAGGCCAGAATCTGATGAATGCTTTAAGGAAGCTAGGAAACTCCAGGCTTTCCTGTGTTCAGTGGCCAGTTTGTTTATTATTTATTTAAGCAGTGATGGTTTCTCATGCTGTGCACAGTATGATCCGGTGTAGCCTTTACTAGCACTATTGCCTGCTACCAGTAGTAGTCCTGGTCATTGTTTTTTTTCTTAATTGTGGTAAAATACACATAACATTAAATTTACCATCATAACCTTTTTTGCCTGTGTGCTGGGAATTGAACCCAGGGCTTCACACATGCTGAACAGGTACTCTACCACTGAGGTATACCCCTGCTCACCATCTTAATTTTTTTTTTTTCAATTAATGGTGCTGGGGTTTTGAACTCAGGGCATCAGGGTGCTAGGCAGATGCTCTAGCACTTGAGCTATGTCCCCAGCCCATGCTTTTCTTAGTTTTGGACTTAGGGTCTTGTGCTTTTGCCCAGGTCAGCCTGGGCTTCAGTCCTCCTATTTCTGTCTCCCACATAACTGAGATGACAGGTGTGCACTACCACACCCAGCTTTTTATTAGTTGAGGTGGGGTCTCAACTTTTTGCCCAGGTTGACCTCAAACTGTGGTCCTCCCAATCTCTGGTGTCCACCTCCCAAAAACTGGGATTATAGGCATAAGCCACAGTGCCTGGTTTAACTGTTAAGTATGCAGTCCAGAGACAGTAAGTACATTTACCATGTCTGCAACCATCACTACCATCTACTTCAGTCTTGCAAAACTGAAACTCTGTATCCATCAAACACAAAATCCCCATTTTTCCCTACTGTCTCACCAGCAATCACCATACTACTCTATATGTAGGAATTTGACCTCTCCAGTCACCTCATGAGAGGAATCATCACATTTTGCTTTTTGTGATTAGCTTATTTCAATTAGCATAATATCCTCAGGGTTCACCCATATTGTATGCATCAGAATTTCCTGCGTTTTAAAGGCTGGATAATATCCCATTGTAGGTACATATCACATTTTTAGTCATAGTCATCTTTCAGTATTTTTTACTTTTTTTTTTGTTAGCATACATTAATAGTACAAGGAGGTTTCATTGTGATAGTGCCATATCCAAATACTTTCATAGTCTTTTTTTTTTGTGGTACTGGGGCTTGAACTTAGGGCTTCCCACTTGCTAGGTAGGTGTTCTACCACTTGAGCCACTCTGCCAGCCCTTCTTTGTGTTGGGTATTTTTAAGCTAGGGGTCTTGCTTTTTTGCCTAAGCTATTCTCAAATCACAGTCCTCTTGATCTCTGCCTACTGAGTAGCTAGGATTACAGGTGTGAGCCACAAGTATCTGGGTTTTCATAGTCTTTTGTACATTCTGAGATCACAGCTTTTATTCCAGAGAGTCATGGTTGGTTTCCCCAATCAGACCTCAAGGTCAAGAAGTAGATCTAATTCATCTCTTGCAGCACACCTTTCTCTGAGAATGGTTTGGCCTGAAGAGATCCTTGTGATTAATTTATTTAAGGGTTCTTAGAAG